CCGGCCTTGAACACCCCCGGGTTTGGGGCATCCACAACTCCTCTAGGCAACCTGTTCCAGTGTCTCACCACCCTCACTGTAAAAAAATTCTTTCTTATATCTAACCTAAATCTACCCTCTTTCAGTTTAAAGCCATTACCCCTTGTCTTATCTCTACATGCCCTTGTAGAAAGTCCCTCTCCAGCTTTCTTGTAGGCCCCCTTCAGGTACTGGAAGGTTACTATAAGGTCCTCCCAGAGTCTTCTCTTACCCAGGCTGAACAACCCCAACTCTCTCAGCCTGTCCTTATATGGGAGGTGTTCCAGCTCTCTGACCATCTTCGTGGCCCTCCTCTGGATCCTCACCAACAGGTCCATGTCCTTCTTATGTTGGGGACCCCAGAGCTGGAGGCAGTACTCCAGGTGAGGTCTCACGAGAGCAGAGGAGGACAATCACTTCCCTTGACCTGCTGGTCACGCTTCTTTTGATGCAGCCCAGGACATGGTGGGCTTTCTGGGCTGCAAGCACACATTGCTGGATGTTGTAAGCTTCTCATCAACCACCACCCCCAAGTCCTTCTCCTCAGGGCTGCTCTCAATCAATTCTCATCCCAGCCTGTATTTGTGCTTGGGATTGCCCTGACCCACATGCAGGATCTTGCACTTGGCCTTGTTGAACTTCATGAGGTTTGTGCAGACCCACCTCTCAAGCATGTCAAGGTCCCTCTGGATGGCATCCCTTCTCTCCAGCATGTCAACTGCACCACACAGCTTGGTGTTGTCGGCAAACTTACCGAGGGTGCAATAAACACACTCCTATCAGGAGTTTTGGGCTGGATTCCTGTTTGAATGTTAAGGTTAATTCTTATTTTCAAAATTTCAAAGCTTTTCAAACGTTGGTTACCAAGATGCTAATTTAAAAATGTTCACTTACAGAGCCAGCCTGACACAATGTTGCAGTTGCAGAGTACACACATTGAATGTCAGATACCTTTTAATGAAGCTTTGTCTTTTTTTCCTTGTTTGCCATGGGTCAGCCCTCTTCCACTCTGTATCAGTTATTATAAATTCTTGTTCATTTTCCCATCCCTCTTTTTGCTTTGTTGTTGAGAAAGTTGGTATAACAATGTTCTCAAATTTCTCACTTTCCTCTTTTTTTCCTCCCTTCCTTGGGTTCTGTTCCAGTAGAGAGGAGTGTACCAAGCCACGGCCTTAAAAAAAAACCAAACAAACATATCACTGCTTATTTATATTCTATATTTTTTCATCAAGATAATAGTTTGTTGTAGACAAACCAGGAAGGGCTGAAAGGGTAGGCACTCCAACGTATTTCTGAGTTATTTATCATTTGAAAGATAAATACTAATCGCAACCACCAAATTCCAGCTTTTTTCCTTTGGTCTTTAAAATTCATCACCAATCTTTAAATATATTTAGGGTAGACTGATCATCTTAAAATTCCATTGCTCCAACTAAGTAAACCAGACAAAGAAGGAGGGAAAAGAGGACATGACAATTCTGCAAGTACATCAAAGGCTGATGAAGAAAGAAAAAGCGATCTCTCCTCCATGTCCACAGTGGATAGGACAAGAAAGGAAGGACTAAAACTGAGGCAGAAAAAGATCAGTTTAGGCACTAGGAAACCTTTTCTAAGTATCCAGAGAGTGAGGCACTAAAGCAGATTGCCTGGGGACATAGTAGAGTCTCTGTTACTGAAGGTCTTCCAGAACTACCTAGGCAAACCACAACCAGAAGCAACCCTGGCAGAGGTAACCACATCTCAAGTTCCCTTTCAGCCTCTGATTCATTGGCACTGAGGTAAGAGCAAGTATGGACAAACTGAGCTAGAAGAGGAGTAAACGTGAAAAGGTGAGATAAAAAGTCAACATTCACTTAACAGTTTGTCGTGCTACCTTGGGGAAGCTGTATAGCTTACACTGTCTATGAAAATCACAGGTCTTTTCCATATTGTCACTACTTTGAGTTTGTCTAGCTAAAAATGACCAAAACCATAGTTGCCACTGGACAATCATAGGGTAAAAATTATCTTGGGCTCTTTCTCATCGCCAAGTCAACTGAAGTTTGCCTAAAAATACTCAACACAGTTGCCAAGCCGATGGCAGTTACTAATAGTGCAGCCAGGGGCTAAATACCCTTGGCCATAGCTCGATTTTTCATGGCTGAAACACAGTGGAAGAAGACAGTGGGCTGGCAACTCACACTTGTGGAGCCTCTGCTTCAGTCACTGTGAGGATGTTAGTCTTTCGTTCAACAAGGGGTGTCATCAATCTACTGTTTTTCTTCAATCCTTCACATCCTAAGAATTAACATCCACACTGAAGCAAGGTTAACAGAAAAAGATAACAGCTTTGCTATGTCTGGCTTGCTTGTGCTTGATTCTACAAGGACTTTAACAACAAGATCCTACATCTCTGAAGGAAGTCCAGCAATCGAGCCATCTGGGTAAGGAAACGTGGTGATTCTGCTCAGGGTACTCACTTGACCGCTAGGCTCACAGAGAATGGTGGCGCAATCAAGGCTTGTCCTAAATCTCTGCAGGTCCTTCCAAAGAAAATCCGAGGGAGGTTTGTGAAGCACCGTAGCATCTGCTGTCCAAACCTGCAAAGATCAAGCAACCATTAGATTAAAGACAAAATGGCTCCTGGATACTTCTACAATATAAGAACTCAGTAAAAACATCAGGTTTTCTTCTTCCTTTTTGATTTTTGTAAAACTGATCACTATTTGATCTGTGAAATCAAAGCTGAAAGAACTATATTTCAAGACTCACAGCTTAGTTATAGTGATTATTTTCAAGTACCTCTCCTGTGGATTAACAGAGATTAGCAAAGGTACATTTTTCAAGGTGTGATACTAAATCCTGGGCTTTTTGGTCTGGCTTGCTGAGAGTAAGATTAAAAATAGGCAGTTTCTTTTATTTTCTGAATTACCAGGGGCATTGGAAGAGATCTGTGATACCAGTGTCTGCTTCATTCTGGATTCCCTCTGTTCAGGGAGAAGCTGTCACTACTGGAGAATAGAATTTTTTTGTACTTTTATCCTTATATAAAAGATTTAACACTGTTGTGCTTTATAAAGTGAACACAATTATCTGTGACCTTTATCACTAACGCAGTAGCAAAAGGACCTGTTATGAAAACATTTCTCTTACATAAGACAACCCCAGCACGGTTTTGCGAACAGTGTTCCTAAAGGATTTGGCATTTGTCATCTGGGAGAAAATGGCTTCAACCATTTCCTGGGAGCCAAAACAATCCTCATTCAATTTTAAAGGAGAAGTATCTTGAAAAATATAAAATGCTCTCTTCCAAAAGTGCTCACCATACGGCCCTCTGCCAAGGTGTATTTGTGGCTCTTTCACACAGACACCAGAAGACAGCACTGACTGTGGCTCTTCTGGACCCCCACCAGCTTGCATTTCCAGCTTTCTTGTAAGAGGGATCACACAGGGCTGCATCAACCTGCATTGAGCTTGGTGATGAATATGGACTTTGCCTCCTTTTATTCTGCAAGGCCTCGATTTTCATCTCAGAAAAAGAAACAAGCACTGGTGGTAAAAGAGGCTTCACACCATGATCTAACCATGTACACTGGCATCTAACTCAAGCATTTTGCCTTGGTTCATCTGTTGTTCTCACAGGAAGCTGGGGCCTGGAAGTCCCCTCTAGCTGGCTGTCTGACGCAGACACTATTGTACATGAATTTTAGATGCAAGAGTTGGCAGCCTGAATACAACCCTTTGAAATTCATAAACCAGCAGAAATTTTCTGCTTGCATACACTGAAACAGAAGCTGTGGTAGATTTCCTACCTCTGTCAGTTGTTCACCCAAGAGCTCTAAAATGATGATGGGAACAGCCATCTTGTCAATGACTTCAGCACTAATCAGAGCACTTCAGAAAGGACTACTTTAAGGGTGAGTGGGAATGGTTGGCATGCCAAAGCCAACAAAGAGGAAACCATATCTGGGGAGATCTGCAAGGTGTCTTGCAGCCAGCCAAGCAGCCAGCCTCTTTACCCAGTACAGCAAAGGCTGTGCCTGCTCTGAGCATAGGTACATCCCAGAGGTTGCTGGAGACCATGTGCAGACACCAGCAGACATTCCTCAGCTACTCCTGCAACTGTGCCTTGGTCACATTTATTTCACACGTTCAAGCCTTTGTCATTACCATGGATATCAGATGCATATATTTGTTGTTTTCTATTCAAAGCTTTTCTGGGGTATGATTAAGTCATCTGACTCTTTGCATCTTAGATCCTACCTACCTCGCTAACTCTCATTCAAACTGGCAAAAAGATACATCTGAATGAGCTGGAGGGGAAGTAATCTTTGAAGAGCAGCAGCCCATGCACTAAATTTTTAACGTATAGTTCTGGCACAACATCAAAAGAGAGCACATCATTATCTTCCTTTTACAGCATAGGAAACTAAGGCACAGTGTGTCATCATTTTGCCTAAAGTCATCCAAGACAAAGCCAAGAACAGAGCCCCATTGCCAGAACAGTGGTTTGTGGCCTTCTCTGCTGGATAACAGCTGTCCTCAGACAGTGGGCATGGTCTGGAAAGCAACATCATTTTTCTTTATGTTTTCAGTTGAGACCCTACTATACTCATACCTCAGACTAGACAAAAAAACCATATTAATTGTTTCAGTAGCAACACATACAACTCGTTTCCTTTCCAGTTCTATCATTTGTGGGTTTCTGATCCAAGGTTCACACCCTCTGTTGGCAAACACTGGCACAACTCAATATTCTGACAGTACAGGGAGCTTTTTATGGGACCAATGGTTGTAAAAAGGAATGTATCAAATAAGGACTTTCCAGGACATCTTCCCATTGCTGGGCAACATGGAATGCTGGACATGTCATTCAAATTCCAGGCTTGTACTGGTGACGGACATTAGCAGCTTCTTCTGCATTCATCATTATTTGTGAGTGTTAGCCTTTCTGAAAATACAGACTTAAGTTTGACTCTATACCATCAGGCTAAGAGTGTATCCTGGTCTGTCAGCTGAGAAAAGGCACTCAAAACCCCAACACTCACTGTCAAAGTGGAGTTGGGCCCCAGCCTGGTCTCAGGGGGGAACTGAAATACAGCCACTGCTTGACCTTGGATGTCCTGCTTCAAGAGATAATCTCCAATGCTTTCTTCTTTTCCAGGAGCACAGTTCAGGATCTTTACAAAACGACCACCTGGATCAACTTCAGCAATGTTCAAATTTCCAATAGCACTGAAAGAACAGAAGTTGATTTGAAAGTGTAAAAGCATTGCTCAATTGTAAAAATACATGTATTTCCTTATAATAACTAGCCTAGATGTCAGTAATTAATGGTAAGTAAATGTACCACAGGCAGAATATTTACAGCACTGCCATTCTACTTTTTATGCTGTGCCATCTGAAAAAATCCATTTGTATTAAAATTAGTATATTCTATTTCTCTTTCACACTTAGGTAGCATCCATTACCATCAAAAATTAAAAGATTCTTTCTGGGGCAAAAAAGTCATCAGTATACCATTTGAATTTGGTTTTGTCTAAATCTGTACAGGGTACAAATTCTAAGGCTGCCTTGGGTATTTAGCCTAGTATGATTAGTGGGAGTTGTGTAGCTGAATCCTTTTGTAAGTTTAGAAAATTCCTCCTGTCCATCAGTATACCTTCCTCCTCCTGCCTCTCATTGTTTTTTCCTCCCTGGAGAAAGACAAATCTTTATTATTAACAATTTATTATTAACTCAGAGAGACTCCATGCTACAAGACTGAGATTTCATCCCTCCCTTGTTTCGGAATCCCAGCAAAGCAGGGTCTGGTTTGCATCTGCAGTAAACAGGGACTTCTTGCGTGAGCAGGGGAACACTCAATCTCCCTTAAGCACTGGAAAACAAAATCATCACTTGAGTGCTCCTTTAAGGAGTGCACATGTCAAGGGAGCACTTTTAAACACTCAGTCCCAGACTGTAATACTCATCATAGGTCTTATTAGACAGGTTGTGAATGAAGTCTAAAAATCATTCAAATTTTGATGCAGCATCTACCACAATAGTACTGCTGCAGTGTCTTGTCTGTTTTCTGTGTGTGTAATGCTTTTGCCCTTGCCACATTTGTCTGGTGCCAGTAAGTTTAAGTAACAGACCTTTGTGTGTATAGTAAAGGTTGACCCAACAGCCCAGACAGCTTATGTGCTTGCTTAACATACCCAAATCCTCATCGACAGCGTGACAAATACTGCCCACCCACCCCTAATAATTCAGCTGTGTGGTAGAGCAGTGAGTCACGCTTGCTCACGACAGCCAGGCTGCCTCCAGGCTGCCGCTGGCATTGATAGATTTGGAAGCAGAGCCGCGGGGAACTGCTCCCTCCCTGGCCAGAGAAGACACGCATAGTGAATGTAATACTTGGCTGCCTCTCTTCTGCCTTCCTGTAAACTTCGGGAACTCTAGAGCGTCCCTCCTCCCGGTCAGTCCTGGTCTATTTGTGCTTCACATCAGCAAGGAGACGCCAGGAGACGGCTTACTGGAGACGTAGAGCCTCGGAGGGGCTTTGGCAGCACAGCCAGGCTGTGAGGGACCTCACCTTCAGACTGTCCCCCTCTTCTGACTGCTTGCTTTCATCTGGCTGCCACAGTTTGGCATATTTCTCCTTCCTCCCTGCTCGTAGGACCACACTATAAGCTGGATCATTGAAATAACCAAGCGTAAAGGGTTTTGGGGGAACACTATTTTAACCTGAGCTTTTTTATTAGTCTCTGCAAGCTGCGGTATCAGTGCAGCTGAAGGGATGGACAGCTGTGCTTAAAAACTTTGCAAATTGCTGAGGTAGAGAATGATCCTTCAGGATCCCTCAGTCTGTAGGTCATAATTTACACATGCAATACACATTCAGATGTAAAACGCTGCAATTCAAATCCACTGTTGCTTTCTACATCGGCTACAGTCCCAGAGCTCCAGCACTGGGCTCTAGAACCAGAATGACACCAGCAACAAAGAGAAATCCCTGACATTCTTACCCTCTGGAAAGGTGTAGAGCCAGTTAAGTCAATGGGAGAAGACTTTTAAACCATGCAGAAAGCAAAGATCTTCCTGATCTCCCATTTCTATCTGTGCAAGAAAAATAAAAGTCTTGGGTGCCAAAATATATCTAGGAGGCAGACAGGAAAAAGCAGATGGGGAAAGAAACATCCTAAAATGGTTTGAAAAGGTCATTTCTATGATGTAACACTGTAAACAGCAGCATCCTGGTTGATAATGTAGTTAGTAACAGGGTCTAGGGTAGTGTGACTTCCCCTAAACAAGACCTCAGGTTGAACCTAGTGAAGCCGGGAGACTTAGGAACATAAAATGGGGCTGATAGGAGTTTTCGATACAAGACACAGGACTGGTCAAGGAGCAAATGATAGGACACAGGAATTTGGTGTTGGAAGCTGCTGAAGCATGCAACACAGAGCAGCTAGCTAGCTTGCATCCAGGCAACCGACTGCCTCCCAGCCATGCCGGCTGAAGGAAAAGGTCATATCCAAAGCTGGAAGGGTTAAATAGCTCAACCACGCCTAAGGGGCAAGAGCTGTTACTGATAAAGAAGAGTAAATGGGCTCGATCATCCTTCAATCTCAAATGCTTCTGAATCAATTGGGAATTCTCCTGTGCCAGCTCAGAGACCACAGTACTTTTGATGAGCATGGGATGGGAATGCAAATCTCCTTCCAGGCATGAAAATACAGCCTCCTTCTGTGGACAACTCCCAGTACCTAGAAGAGCCTAGGAGGAGCTGTTACCTCTTGATGATTCTGCTCTGGGTGGGACTTCCAAGGTAGCGGCTCTCTGGCATCTCCCTTTTGTTCCTGGGAGAAGCCACCCACTGATCCCTTGACTCAGCCTGGGATTAACAGAAATCTTTATTCTCTGCTTGTACTTCCCAAGGAGAGCCTCTAAGTCAAGAGCTCCTTTATTGCTAACATATGTAAATCTAAAAAAAAAATCTCCTTAAGAATCAATGTCAGTTTTTCATACAGGCGTGGGGTCTGCACATAGCAAAAGAGAGAGAAGTCGAAGAAAGGAAGGAAGTCAGGCAGGTCCACACCCAGCACCAGGGACCTTGACTCCACTCACCACAAAACTTAAGAGCAGGTATAATTCTCCTCACTTTACTTACAAGAGAAAGTGAAGCTCTCTGACACACACTCCCTCACACCCTTTCCTGCTCTTTTCCTCAGACACTTCTATCTTTAGTCAGTCACCTTTGTTGTATATTCCTTTAAATTGTAATTGGATAATCTTCCAGATTTTGGGGAACCCCTTTGTCAGAGGAATTCCTGGGGATATAGCCCCTGTGTGATGAAATTCAGAGTGACTAAATTAACAAAGGACTGACTAAAGGTGAGATTCTTTGTTTGAACTGGAAATCCTGTTTTACCAGCAATGATTTTTAAGGAACCCTGTAATAAAATACATATGCTTGTACCATCATGTTCCGGTATACTGCTTTCTGCCAAACAAAACTCTGAATTTATGAATATCACAATCTATGTGTATGTGTCATTGAGAATTTGGACCTTAGCCTGTGCACTTCCTACCCTTGACCTTAAAAATCCCTAATGTATAGGCACCATTTGAACTAATTTCCCCAAACTCATTTGGCTTCTGCACTCTCTCTAAGCGTACATGAAGCTCTTAGTCCCATGCCAAAGCCTTATGTAACAGGAGGGAGGGAGCTGGCAGGGAAAGTGAGACCTGCCGGATTTCTCTGAGACCTTGTATAGCCACCTTAGCTGCTGGATGGCAAGAGAATTTTGTGAGTTTAAATGAGAGAATAACTTCTATAAGGAGATGTTCACTGAAGGCTTCAAAGCTTTTTTTAGCAAGCTAGTTTACCTTTCACAATAGTGGACCAGCTCCTGTGAGACAGAAACTAAAGTGCTAAAGTGCATGGGGGAGAGGTCAGTATGTGTTGATGCTGTAGTTTCTTCTGCTACATGCTAATATTCTCTGGTGGAACAGAATCCAAAGTTTTCTGTAATGCACATAGCACTGCACATTGCAGAGGGGGGAAAAAATGTAAGTGCTCTTGGTAGCATGGGGAGCATGAGCCATGGACCTATGACCTGCCATTAGGATTCTGTTTGAGCTTCTCCTGTCTGAGCTGATAGAGGTAGCAACAAGGCATTTTAACTATAAAACACGCCAAGAATTAAAGTCTTTCTAATCTCCTAAGTATTTAAGAAAGTCACAGATTGATACTACTATTACATTGGGAAAGGCTTATCTCCAGAAGTACAAATCTATTTATTTTTATGTCAACAGATTTAACTATACTAGAGGGACAGGACAAGAAAAATCCTGGGAGAAGGCTCAGCTTAGTCTTTGTGAAAGGCTGTGAAATATTCATACCTAGTAGCTGTACACAACTGCAGGCCTGAAATGCCAAGGTTCAGCTGAGATCCCCAGTGCTTTACAGATCAGGGCTTTAACTTAACTCATCCTTAGTATGTAGCATGTGTAGTTAGTACAAAACAGATACTGATGATTTATGATTTTCAGTAGCCATGCACAAAATTTCAAGTATCAGTTTCTATTTTTCCTGTTTTCTGCAAAACAGACACCCCAAAAATATACCAGATCTAACACTGCTCAGCTGCGAAAGTCAGAGGAAGGTTTAGGGCAATATTCACATTGAACAGATACTATGACTGACTCTAAGCATCAGTGCCAGACATGTGTGACAATATTATCACCCTCCTTGCACACAGCTGATAGTTGAAAATCCTAATGCAGTGAATCCTGATTCTGCTGAAAATCCGAATAGCTCAACTCCCATCCATTCCTCAGTATGACATTAGTGAACAATCTCATTACACATATAACCTTCAAGGTGCTTTAAGCATGTTCACGTATTCTCAAAAGGAAATGGATGTAAATTAAACTCGATTATAAACAATAAAACCAAAATATCCTAGTTGGCCAAACCCACATATTTCTACTAAGTTTGTGTATACTTGTACTGTGGCTTCGCGACAAATCGCATCCAGACATACTACTCATCGATTCTCTGCAGAAGTACTACTAAATTATGCTTTCACACTGTGTACACTCAAAGGATGTTATATAATGCAATACCGAATTAAAACATTGGGTATTGTGTACTACAATGTAATTTTATTTATTTAATGCATATAACAAGAAAAAGTATAGTTTAAATCCAAATTGAGTGGAGTAAAACAAAAATGTGCTAGTGTGTT